ATGATGTGTTAGGAGGTGCGGGGTGGTGGGGGGGGGGGGGGAAGATTTCATAACAGGAGTGTTTGAACACTGGAATGGGTTCCTCTGAGCAAATGTGGAATTCCAGTCCATGGAGTTCATGCTAAAACTCTTGGGACTTAATTTCTTTTTCTTTCTGCTTCTCTCTTTTACTATCCTTGTTTTAGTATAATTTAAAATGAAGGTGATAATGACTTATTTCATACCTTCAGGATGCATATCCTTCATCTGTACCCGAGATGTAAAATGAAGTACAGTATGGTCCTATATTTAAACCCAAAATAAACTTGTCAGTGAAGAAGCCATTATATTTTCATTACACCTTATAATTTCCACAAGTGTTCCTTTTGACCATGTCACCTTTCAAATAAATATTCTGTTACTCATACTTCATTTTCAGATGCAATTTTTGCCACACCTTTGTTCTCAGATTTTACTGTCAGGTTCGCTTAAGATCAACATTTGTTTTTTACAATTTTATTGTAAGTGGTATGCGCTAATTTGTTATAAAGCAAACTGGATAAATGACTTCATGCTAGCTGCAGTCTTAAAGCTTTTTGTGATGTTTCTTCCCTTCTCCCCATAATATTCCTTTGGGAGGATTAATTTTCTTGAAAATACATGGAGGAAGGAATTGAAAGCTGGTCAATTGTTAAGTGCTCATCTCTTGTAGAAAGAATCTACCCTTAGAAGTCACTTTCTTTTCAGTGCTTTTTTGCTCAGTCTTCATACTTCTAACAGTCATTATGATAAAAGGAGCATATTCTTAACATTTCTGGTGTCCATTGTTATCAAACAATGTTTAGTGATATCAAAATATCTAATAGCTGTATGACATACGAGAGTAGTGATGTGAAATCTTCTGCATTTTCTACTGTACAAACATAGCTAGGCATTACAAACTTCATAAGTTAAATAGTTTCTAAATGCCAGTGTGCATATAATTTATTTTAATAATTTGTATTCTAGCGGTACGTTTGGTGGAAAAAAAGTCTGGATGTTTGGACAAAAGACCACCCGTTTCCTATAGACATTGACTATATGATCAGCGATACACTGGAACTGCTGAGACCAAAGATAAAGCTCTGCAATTCTCTGGAAGAAGCTATCAGACAGGTGCAAGACTTGGAACGAGAATTCTTAATAAAATTAGGTAAGAAAATGTGCAAGGGAAATAAGATCTTTTTGACAATTCCTGTATTTCTTAAAATTATCTTTTGTATGATGTTGACAGGTAACTATTGTTATTCTCATGGTATGATCTTTTTATTCTCATGATAGAAATATTTTTGTAACTTCTTTGTGTTTTTCTCATCACCATAGAGATAATGTAGAATCTCCATAACTCTAAAGTGATTGACTGTTTAAAAAAAAAAAGTCAATATGAATACTATTAATATAGTAGTATTTGGAGAAGGGGAGTGTGTATGTATATGTATATATAAAAATAAGTATATGGAGTAGTATGGTGCAAACGATGAGGAAGAAAACTATGAATTTAATCAGAAAAATTCAGGAAGCATGCTCTGCTACAAAAAGCAGGGAGTATCTGTGCACTCAGTTACTGCAGCCTGTTGGTTGGTGAGCACTGATGGAAACCAGCTTGGTCATTTTGGTAGATTGGTCGCTTGCAACTCTGTGTTCCTTCCACAGCGCTGGATTTGACTGGAGCTGCTGTGTCAAAGTAAGCATTAGTGTAAGACTATAATAAAACAGAAAGCGTGTTTTGCTTTTAAAATGCTGTTGGGTACTTTGGGCCTTACGCTTCCTTTGGAATAATTTTGAATGGGCTTTACATTTCCATAGAGGCCAGAGGATGGTTTCCTTTTCATGAATTAGAGCTTTGGTTGGATTGTTAAAGTGTGTTTTTCTTAAAATGTATCTGTCGGCTAGGTTGTGTGCTACCTTGTAGTTCCTGCTAAGACTACAGTGATGTATATTTATAAATCTTGGTGTGTTAAAAATCAGTTAATTTCAGGAGAAGAGAGTTGGGCTTGCAGCACAGCTCAGCTGACAAAATACTGGTTAGTGTGTATTTAAAACTACTATCATCATATTAACCTTTAAACCTTTTGTACATATCAGTTCTTGCTAATTATTGGATACTGCTGTGCTCATTTCTCATTAAATGGAGTTGCTTTCTAATCTTCCGTTTTTATTTGAAGACAAGCTTGGTCATGAAAAGCTTTTATATGTAAATTTTACACTTTATAAGTGTTAATTATAGTCTTAATAGCACTTCATCTAGTCAGAGAAGTTCAATTTTTAAGAATAATCCTTTAATCCAGTGGGATGAGTATGTGTAATTGCCAGGTGAAATGTTGGAACTTCTGTTTTAGGAGGAATTTATATTTTTAATATGCTGTTCATTTAATTGACATGCCTTAAAATTACCTATTTAGCAACTGAAATGCAGATAAAAATTTCCTTATGGTACAGTCTAAATTACTAGCTTTTATGCTCTCAAAATGATAACCAAGAAGTAATTTACCACTAGTTACATAAATTGTAATATTCTTTTGAAAGATACTCAGCACTTCCTTCCTACAAATCATAAGAACTTCTGTTCTCTGAATCACCACCACTACAGCAGTTGAGTTTGGTGTAGTTAAGGGGGAGATATGTGGTCACTGAATGTGAGCAAGTGCTGGAGAACACTTTATTGTCTTTGTTTTGGCACGAGCAAAGCCTGTCAACAGTAGAGTCTTCAAAAAGTGGGTTGTGTCATGTGTCCTCCCCAAGTGTGTTGCTTTTCTTGATATTGATATTGCTTGCTATTAAACACCAGTATAGGGTGGGATAGTTCCTAGTCCTCCTATTAGGACTGTTTGAAGGTGGTCTCAGGAAGGTTGTCATCTGCCTTTCTGATCTTTGACGGTTATGACAATAGGGGTGAGCATATCTGAAGGAGATGAGATTTTTAATACTTCAGCAAAAGCTCTAGTAAAACTGCAGTTCTTGACCAGTTTGTCCCCACAGTTCCTCGGCCTGTGGACAGTAACACTGAGAAGGTACTGTGCTGAGGACCAGGAGGTGCTTTGCTTTTTATCATTCTGAAGTGTAATTCTAGGCAGAACGGCGGGGTGGCTCATTGCCTGCAGACCTTGAGTTGGGGACTGACTGTTGGTTCCTGTGCCGCTCTGGTAATTTGTACTGCTGGGAATATACTGAGTGAGTTGAAAGAAACACTTGTGTAATTATGGAGCAGCACAGATTTTGAAGAGCACAGCTTTTATAAATAGGGGGGGGGAAAAGAATGCTTTGAAACCTCTGGAATATGAAGAAGGAAGAGTGTGTGTGTTCACCCAGAACTGAAATCCTCAATAACTACCATGCAGCCATATATACCGTTCATTTTATTTCTGAGTATTGTCTAATTCAAGCATGGCTGTAAAGATTCACCTCCTCCCAAAGCTGATCTTTGTGATCTTAGTCAAATTTTTGTAAGGAGACCTGGCTGTGTGTGTCTGTGTATTGCTTCTCTTAAAGGCATCTGGAGGTGGAGAAAAAAAAAATCTGATACGCCCCAAACCAGTTGTGTATTCAGAATCTAGCCTTCTGTTGAAGAATAGCGTACTACCGCACGTGTTCTTTGCATATGGCAGAGAACAAACAAGAAGTGCCACAAGCACAGAACTGATGCATTCATTTGCCGTCCAGAAAACTTTAAGCTAATGGTCGACCCTAAGCATGGTTGGTATAATGTCAAAGTATGAATGACAAACTGCATAGTAACTGTATTGACTCCTTAGTAAAATCTTTGAAAAATTACTGTCTGTGTTGCAGAAGGCTGGCATCAGCGTTGCTTTCTGCTAGCTCAAACCATGATCCTCTGGAGCATTAAGTGGCTTTTTAAATTAATGAAAAAATTAAAAGAATGTATGAGAACAATAGTGTATGCTGGAAGTTTTGTTCTTTTTTGCATTGGATGACTTAATTTTTGCAATAGCTGTTCTCTAAAAACAGGTCTTCATTTTTTCCTGAATCAAACCATGCTGAATTCTTAAATATCTTTCTCTGAAAATAGTTTTGATTGAAATCTGTATCTAAGACTAAATTGGACACTGAAGCACTGAAAGGAGCAAAAACTTATTTTTCACTGCTATAGGAATGGTATAGATAAGGGTGTTACATTGAAGGACACCTTAACGAAAGAAAGCAGAGGTTTAGGGAGCTACGCTTTGTACCTTACACACAGAGTAAACTAAAATGTCTTGAGGCATAGGGGTGGCAAGCAGGTCAGTAAGGAAAACTGCAAGATGAACTAAAACACAGTGAAAGAACTGTCAGTCCTGTCTGCAAGTAGGATGAGCACACTAGATAATACTTCTGGAAGAGACTGATTTCCTGAAGACATTATATAGGCGCCTACATCCTCATAGGTTCAAGTGCAGCCTCAGAGCATTAGAAAAGATAGAAATTAGAAATTTATTACAGAAAAACTAGAAATTTATTACAGGCTGAGAAAGTTGCTGTTTCAAAACTGTTAATTGGCAGTAGTGGGAAGTACTGGAACTAAGACTGCAGAGGCTTGATGTCGTCTTGGGTTCTGCTGGTTTTGTAGAGCATCTGTAATTTAGTGCTCGTATTTCACTGCCTGTTTCAGTGAGGTTGCACATTTAGTTTGAGGATATTTTGAAGCAGTTTGCACAGTGCAGCTTCTTGATTGCTGTTCTGTGGGAGATTTTAAACATTCTCCATAATGTTTTCCTCCTTTTATGGCAGGGAAACATTTAGGAGTAATGTAACCATAGAGAAAATGTTTAATTCAGAAGTCAAACATTATGACCCGTTGGAAGTGTTCAGTAACAATGGACTTTTGAAGTGATCTTCCACATATAACTTGAGTGGTTATATGTGTTCTACTGTTCTAATTCTGTTCTAGTTCCTTATTCTAATTTTTTCTCTTTTCCAAATTTCAGGAATTGTGAATGACAAAGATTCCAAAGATTCCATTACGGAAGGAGAGAATCTGGAAGAGGATGAAGAAGAGGAGGAAGGTGGAGCAGAGACAGAGGAACAATCTGGAAATGAAAGTGAAGTAAATGAGCCAGAAGAAGAGGTGACCTTAATGATTTACCTTGCCTCGCATAAAAAGAATGAATAATCAATATTTTGATTACTTATTACTTTCTGAAGCCACAGAGTTAGCAGGTGAAATGTGGGTATGCACAACCCAGTCAGTACTCTGAGGGTATTTCCATCCCGGTTTTGTATATATGGAAAACTGAATGCAGAGTGTCGGAGGCTTATCCCAGAGAAATTGAAACTTGAACCTGACAACTTTGCTGAGGGCATGTGCTGCTTCTCAACAAAAAGTTGCCTTCAGTTTTTTTGCATGAAAACACTTTCAGATAATTTTCTTTATCTGTTGTAGAAGCAAATGTATTGACTAGCAGTCAGATAGGAAAAATAACAGGCGTTCAGAGTATGCCTGTATAATATGAATAAATAAAAGATTTATGGAGCATAACAACCTTCCTTGTTTACTGTGCCAATAATCTTTTGAATCAAAAATGGTGGAGCCAATAAAAGAGACATGTACACAGAAATTCTAACTTGTCACTGTGACACAGCAAAGTTGACATGGTAATGGTAGTGTTGTGAGAAAATGAGTTCATCAAGAAAATAGGAAACACTTTTTCTCCTTAGGTTTGGTTTGGTTGCTTTACTAGTAAGCGTTCTTTCAGTCTATGCTTCTCAGCGTTAAAGTTCCTGAAGTTTGGCTGGGTTTGTGCCTTTACCCACAAATTAACAATGTTATTAGAATCATAAATGGTTGGGGTATGGGGAAGGGACCTCTGGAGATCTTGTCCAACCTCCCTTGCTCAAAGCAGGGTCACCTACAGCAGGTTGCCAGAGGCAGTGTCCCATCATGTTTTGAATATCTCCAAGGATGGAGGCTCCACAGCCTTTCAGGGCAATCTATTTCAGTGTTTAAACACCATCACAGTAAAGAAGGCTTTTTTTTTCCCCTTATATTTAAATGAAATTTTTCAACTTGTGTCCATTGCCTCTGGGTCTGTCACTGGGCACCACTGAGAACAGTCCAACTCCCTCTTCTTTGCTCCCTCCCTTCAGGTATTTATACACATTGAGATCTCCCACCCCACCCCGAGCCTTCTGTTCCCCAGACTAAACAATGCCATCTCTCTCAGCCTCTCCTCCTATGACTGGTGCTCCAGTCCCTTAATCGTCTTCATGGCCTATTGCTGGACTTGCTCCAGTATGTCCATATCTGTCTTGTACTGGGGAACCCAGAGCTGGGCGCAGCACTCCAGATGCATCTTGCTGGTGCTGAGCAGGCAGGAAGGATCACTTCCTTTGAGCTGTCGACAACGCTTTTTCCTAATGCAGCCCAGGATGCCTTTGCTGCAAGGGTACATGGCTGGTTCTTGGTCAGTTTATTGTCTGCCACGACCCTGTGTCCTTCTTTGCTGAGCTGCTTTGCAGATGGGCAGCCTCCAGCCTGTATTAGTGAACGGGGTTATTGCTTCTCAGGTGCAGGACTTGGCATTTCCCTTCGTTGAACTTCATGAGTTCTTATCAATCCATTCCTCCAGCTTGTTGAGCTCCCTCCGAGTGGCAGCACAACCATCTGGTGCCTCAGACGCTACTCCCAGTTTTCTGCTGTATGTTTGTGAAAATGGCAGATAAATCCCAGTGAGTTCAGACTGAAACATTAACTACAAAACATAACAAAATAATTTACTAAGACCGAACTGAACTAAACAGGTTTGGATGGGGAGAGGGTAGGAAAGGTGCAGAAAACACATACGAGGAATCAGATGTAAGTGGTCTTTTTTGTTGTAAAACAGTCAGAAGTTATTCTACTCTCAAATTTTAAACATTGAATGTTTCAGGAGGGCTCTGACAATGAGGAAGAAGAAGGTGAAGAAGAGGAGGAAGAAAACACGGATTATCTTACAGACTCTAATAAGGAAAATGAAACAGATGAGGAGAATACAGTATGTGGTGTTACTTTAAATAAGTGAATTGACTTTTGCATCTTTGTTTTTCTTTACTGAATGTTTTTTTCCAATGCTGCTCATAACTTATCTGGGAAAACATGGCAAGAACACTCCCTCCTATTCTTTTACATATGTTTTGGAGCTTATTTTTGTATTTGCGAACTTTGATTATTACCTTCTGAAAGTATTTATGCCATCAACTTTACAACAACATGTTTTCACAGGACCGTGCGCTTTCACAGGTAGCTAGACTGGAAAAGATTGCATAAGTGATGGTTTTGCAATGCCAGCAATGGTAGCAAACTGATATGGTACAACAAGGTAAACTAGTTACTCTGCACTAGATCTCAAAACTGAAAAGGAGACAAACCAAGAAGTGCAGAATTCCTAAAATACAGATTTGGGATTAGCAGATTATAACATCTGCAGCAAAAGAATTGAGCATGAATTGCAGCTACATAGTAAAGAAAGTAATGATCATTATAGACCAATGTGTTGGGGTACTGACTTCAAACATTTTTGTTGTCATGTTGTGCTTTCCAAATACTGAAGGATAGTATTCATCTTGAAAAGACCATCTAACATTATGGATTTAATGGAAAAATTAGTTAAATTAGGTGTGGTAGGAATAGAGACTTTTTTTGTATTGCTGCCATATCTAGAATGTGTACACACGCATCTGTACACGTACGCTGGTATGTCAGAATGAGTGGCCAGCCTTCATAATAATTAATGCAATAAATGTCAGAAAATATTTCTTCAAGAAAATAATCCAGGCTAAAAACTTTTCTTTAACAATTTTTTAAGCTTTTGGTTATGTATGATAGGGAAGCAATAAGGATATTTTTCCCCTTATTTCTAGACTGAGTATTTATATTTCTGGATCTAATGTAATAGAAGGTTTTTTTCCTATTGCAATAGGAAGTAATGATTAAAGGAGGAGGACTTAAGCATGTCCCTTGTGCAGAAGATGAGGACTTCATTCAGGCATTGGATAAAATGATGCTGGAAAATCTTCAGGTATAAATATTTATTTTCTTAAATTAATGTAATTTGCTGTACAGCTAATTGTATTTGATTTTTTTTTTTAAAGTAAGTAAAAGATAAATTCATAGCTTACCATACTAAAGAACATGGATGGTTTTTTCTTAGTTGTGGCCTCTTCTCTGCAATTGACATGTTTGGATAAGTAGCTTTTAGTTAAAATAGCTGTTAATTGTATTGTTTGCTCAGTGAATATATGACATGCTGAGAGATATTTTATTGGATGAATAATAACTGCATCGGATACTATGCAATGTTTCCGACTTTATCCTAGACTATCCAAGCCTAGGTTTTAATGTTTAAAATGTAGCTGCATTTAAATTTACATAACGTTTAAGCCCTGCATTTTTTTTTTCAGTCACATCTGGTAAATGTTTAAGTGTTGAGTATTGCAAGCCCTGTATGAGGAATTAACAACAAGCTACAAAAAAATCTTGGATGTAGAATGTCCATTCTCAAGTGTGTTTAATCAAGTCTCTAGATTTCTTTCCTTACAAGGTTAAATTATCTAAAATTCCTTTGAAATTTGAAATATTCTGTCTCTGTAACTTAATTCTTCACAAGCAAGGAAATCAAAGGAAAATATAATATGTTTATTTATATATTACTCTGTTTTCTTGGAAGGTTAAACTTTTCTCAGCCATGAAAATATGAACGTTGCCAGACTGACATTTTTAGCATCTGATCACTTACAGAATTTACTTTTTTTTAATAGCAACGGAGTGGCGAATCTGTTAAAGTACATCAGTTGGATGTTGCTATTCCTCTACATCTCAAAAGTCAGCTCAAGAAGGGTCCCCCACTTGGAGGTGGGGAAGGAGAGTCAGAGTCGGGAGACACAATGCCATTTGTCATGCTAACACGAAAAGGCAACAAACAGCAGGTAAGAGTTCAGAAAGGTATAGATATTGCTTAAATAAATAAATAAAATCCTTTCACTTTTCTGAAAGTCACACTCTGACTTTTGAAGTCACAGAATTTTTTTGTTTCTTCATCCTTTTATCAGATTAGGATGCAGGCATCTTAATTTTGATAAATAGAAAATACTGTATGTAGTTTCTTTGAATTCTTAGTTGTTAATAGAAATCATGTAGGAAAATTCTGTGGTTAAATTATACCGTTGCTAATTACATTTTGTGATCACACCAGTGGACAGTGGTACGTTTTATGTGTATTTTAAACATAGTTGTTGAAGTTGAATGCTTGAGGTTGGTGGACTGCCATTGGAAGTTAAAAGGAGTAGAAAAGAAAAGAAGGAGGAATATTCCAGAATCTTCAAGATTCTACAGATTTTTCTGAAAACACCTTCAGCTTCAAATCAAGATATATGATGTTTGCTAAATTCCATTTCCTAAGTAACTGCCACTTGGTTGAATTTGTTTCACTTGGAAAAAAGTCATTATCTGTGAAGGCTTTTTTAGGGGACTCTTCCAGAATGCACTGAGTGAATCTCGGAGAAACTTAAATGGAAATCATGTTGATAAAACAAATAAACCTCTTGCTTCATGCAGCCAAGCTATACGTTTGTCTTGGCTCTTTTCTCCAGTATATGTTTGAATTTTCCTGGGTCAGCAAATGCATAGTACACAAATCAGTACCTAACACATTCCACATGCATTTCTCATCATGGTGTAGGTCCTTTAAAGAAACCTTTTCATTTTGGTTGTATAAATTCATGATGAAAGTGAATGACTCTAGTGCGGGGGGGGGGGGGGTGTTGTTGAGTGTTGTGGGTTTTTTTGAAAGCAAAACCAAGGCATTGTTTTATCCCATGCATCTGTGCCTTTCAAGTATTTAGAGCTATGTCATCCATGTCATTACTTTGTTTTGACTTCTGTTACCTGAATTGTGACAGTAGTGTAACAGTTGAGGTATATAAAGCTGAAGTAGAATGTGAAAGACACTTTAAAAATCTGCTTATAAAATGAGGTCTGTTTTCATAAAACCCTTGAACTAGGGGGTGTGTGTGATTCCCAATCTGTTTTTAAGCCTTGTTAGTCTGCTAAGAAAATGCTGTGCTATGTAAGTGCTCTGAAAATGTAAGTGGTGATACCTATTTGCATGGGCATGCAAGTGCTTGCATTTAGTAGTGATGATTAACTGATTTCCTTACTACATTTGTTTGGTTATTCTGTTTTCCTGGAACTTGAATGTTGTATACAAAGCTCTACAGAAGTTTTGGGTGGGGAATTGTAACTGTTGTCATTGGGCTCAGAATGGATTTAAGGGAATTCCATTAAAAGAAAATGGTGTTTAGCTTTTTCAGGATAATTTACTGGGAGTATCTGTAGTTACCAAGAATTTTAGGATCTTCATATTCTGTGTTGAGGAGAAAATATTGCCAACGTGTGGCTTGAAAAAGAAGGCAGAACTTGTTCAGGAGCTTTCCCTGCTCCTCCCCCAGTATTTGCTTTTGGGAGTAGGCTCTTCCTGCCAAAACTCCTCTCAGTGTTTCTAGAAATGTAGAAAACAGTTACTTTATAGACTACTTCAGTTCTTGAGTCAGTGAAAGGCGTCTTTGTCCATAGTTCTGTATTCAGAAAAAAAGAAATATGTCTTAATAGCCAGTTTTAATAGAAAAATAAGCAGGAAAGAAGAGGTGGTGTTGAGAAGAAAATAATTATTCCTTCTTATAGTCCTTTTATTTTAAATCTGCATGAGCAGAATGTGCACAGAGTTTTGAAGTGATGGATGCATACTTTAGTGTTAAGTTATAACTGTAACCTTTCAGCTTTTTACAAATGGTCAAAAGGAGTTTGCAGACAACCTGGAAAGCTGTATAACTTCTCGTCTGCACAGTCACTGGAATGATAAGCATCATCACCTCACTACGACATCAGCCTAATCGCTCGCTGCGTTAGCGGTTGGTTTGGCCTCTGTGTGCTTTGTCAACGGTGCTGCTGAAGCTGGAAGTCTTCACTGTAAGGGAATTACTGATGAAAATGGAATGTGCTGTGCTTCCTTCCAGAGGTTAATATTTGGTGGCTGAGGTCCAGTCACTAAATACTCCATTCACATGCCGGTGTTCAGCCAGACTTTAGTGGAGCATTGCCAACTAGTTTTTTGAAGCAACACCAGTACAACTGACTGTTATTTACCAGCAGTGTACAACCTGAATTAGTAGTCGTTGCATAGTAACCAAGGACACCATATTTTATCCTCTTTTGTCTCACTGTGATTTACAAAAACAGGCAATAGCAAGGGTATTGGGTAGACCAGTGTCTTGCAATGGATGGCGGGGGGTTTTTCACCCATTGGCTGTAGCAAAGAAGTTGTATGACAAAACTTACAAAACTAGTAGCAGTAGAACTGAACCTAGTTATTGGTAATTAGACTGTGGCATCATGATTTATCCACAAGCCATGGGCGAGCAAGGGGAAATGAAGAAATACTGCCATCATAAGGGACCAGAACTGAGGTCTATCTAATACCATTTGATATTTTTGAAATTGTCCAAGACGTTTTATGCCAGGGAGGTGTGAACTAAGGTGAGATTTAGACAATGAAAAGAAAATCACCTAGCGTCAAGAAATTTAGTTAATACCCAAGACAAAACATTTCCTTTCACTTGAAAGGTTTTTAGCCAGGTTGCATAAAAGAATGGTAATATCCGTGGAACGGTCAAGTCTGTCCTTGAATGTGAAGTTCCTTGTCTCAGTGACATTTTTATGAAATCTGTAGTCTAGTCTTCTGAATGATCTTTTTTGATCTGTCTTCAGTTTGCCATCTTCTAAGTGAAGTCTTTATGTTCTATCCCCATCTCACAGATTTTAAGAGGTTTTTGATATACCTCTTCGCTATTTGCAAATCGGAAATGTTTCGTTGGCTCAGTAATCATCGTATCCTTTAGTAATTGTCATCAGTGATTTGATTTCAGATGGCAACTGTCTGATTGCCTTGAGATAGTGACTCAGTGATGTTTTGTTAATTACCAGTCTGGTTTTTGTATGCTTCTTTCGTTTGCACCCGTCTATATTTCCGTTTTCTTTTTTTCTACTTTAAGCATCCTGAAAACGCTTACCAAGCCCATTCAGCTGATAAATCCATAGAACAGATAAAATATAAAGGACATATTATGATGGATGAGGAGCTTAATGGTGAAGCTAAGGAATGTTTTTTATCATGAAATGCTGCTAATGGGTTAGTTATTTGTGTAGTTTGCGTAAAGCTCGTTTGACAAAAACTGGGACCATGCATAGTCTGCTCAGCAATAAGTAACTAAAGCTTACTTTTCTGTTGGAATTTCAAGAACTTTCATTTTTATTCTTCCCTGCACACCTCAATAACAAACTTAAAAATAAAGTTCAATATAATATGCTATTACCCACCCCCCCCAAAAAAAAAAAAAATTAACTAATTTCCCTCATCTAAATAAATAAAAAAATTTTTTTTTTAAAAAAAAAAATTAAAAAAAATATGTTGTCCCCCCCCCCCCCCCCCCAAAAAAAAAAAATCTCTTACCTGATTTGTCTCATCTAAATAAATCTTCTAGTTTCACTGTACCCAGGTTTTTCCCAAGTCTTTGCAAGAGTCTGGCTTAACTGTTTCAAACACAATTTATTTTCAAATGCTGCATCTGAGTACTTGGTCTCTTCTCCCACTCATCATTCATCTGCTGCTAGTGGGGCACTACTGTCTAATGGATACCTTGAGATCTCTTCGTAATTATTGCATTAAATACTAACCATATGCAGTGAGGATTTTGCTTTTACTATATACCTTCTCAACAGAGGTTTTGATAATGTATCTTTCTGTCTGCAGCTTTTGACACTATAGCAGAAAAGAACACTGAGAAATTTGCTCTGCTCCTATTTCTGTGGAAATAGATCTCAGATGACAAGAACAAGCAGCAGGTTTCGGAGTATTCGTGGAATATTGAGAGTGATTATCCTTAAATGCATTACCCTACTTATAGCACAGAAATATTTATTTCTGATGGACGTACAGTTGAAGGAGGAAGTGAAATTTTTCTGAATATGTTCACAAACTTGAGCATTAAGGTGTTTCTGAAAACTATTGTTTCATTTGCAGATAAGATTAAGAATAATTTCTCTGGTTTTGAACAATTGTAAAAAAATTTTCTGTGGAAATAAAAACTTGTATTTTCTGAGTCTGGGGAAAAAGAAAGCATCTTCCTAACGCCTCTCTGAAAATCTCAGCTGTATTTTTCAGAGAGAGGGTACTTCTGTAGGAGTAGTACCAAGCTTACCTTTAATGTAGCTTATGGCAAATCAGAGTGTGTTGAATGTGTGGTGTGGATGTTTGGCGTGGGGGAGGAGGAGAAGATTAAATTGGACACCACAGTTGTCTCCAGACTAATAAGAAGCACTATGGAGCTAGAATCATTTGTAAAAGCAAAAGCCAAGGAATGCTGGGGGATATCTGAATGCTTGGGACATTTCTCCTCTGTTACCACAAGGAGTCATAGTAGAAATTCTGCTCGGGGGCTTCATCTCTTTGGAATGTAGAGACCTTTGGAGGGAGATGCAGCTTTCTGAGCCAGCTATAGTGCTTTTATCTCAAGACCAGTGTAATTCACTGTGAGGGTATCGGCTTGTGTAAAAATAAGTAGTAAAGCATATAGGTATGTGTTCCTGGTGAAAGTTAATCGATTTTGTTCCCATAAATACTGTGTGTAAAAATAGTCTTTTGCCTTAGGAGTACATCGGCCTTTTTTGTATGTTCTCTGTGTCTTTAGGAGGTCTGAATAACTTATATTTTCTCATGCTTCCTTATGTGAAACAGAGTTTAAAGAAAAAACCAACCAAACAAAACCAACAAACATCACACTTTCCAGTAGAAACTTCTGTAGAAAGTGTCTCATCACAAAACCCTGGAAATAACCATAATCCTTCTGTATTTTGGATTGGTTTGTGTTTGTGGGTTTTTTTTCTGTGATGGGCACTTAGAAATTTACTTTCATTTGCAGTTTAAGATCCTAAATGTACCAATGTCTTCCCAACTTGCTGCAAACCATTGGAACCAACAGCAAGCTGAACAGGAGGAGAGAATGAGGATGAAAAAGCTCACTTTGGACATCAATGAACGGCAAGAACAAGAGGACTACCAGGGTGAGAAAATCACCAAGTATTTAATTTTTATTTTCAGAGGAACTTTCATGGATCTGCAGAAAATATTATTTGTGATAATTAGGAGTTCAAGTTCTGAATATTGATTTGCAATACTTCATGGAAAACCTGTATTTTAGTTTGTCATTCATTATTTACTCCCTGGTGTCTGTGCTTGAAGAAGTTTTTATAGCTCTTCCATGAAAGGGAGTTTTCACGTGGGCCTAAAGTCTCAGCATTTCCATTTATTTTGGGAAAGGGGAAGATCTGAGATTGTTTCCTTAAAAATAAGATAACACAAAATTAATCTGATGTTTGTGGCATTGTCTCCATTTACTGCAAGGCAGTTAAGTTGGATACAAGAGGAATTAATTCTGTGCAAATTAAACTCTGCTTTTTAGATATTAATAGGTATTTTACATATTAATGGCATTTAGAATCTTCATCAGTCTTGCTAAGACTTGCAAATACCAAGAGGTAACCCTCACCTGAGAAATAAAAACTGTCACCTCAGCTTCATATTGCTAAAGCATCTAGGAGTGCTACAAATCTGGAGCATAAGAATATATTAAGAGAATGAAGGTTTTATACAAATTATATTATCTAACTTGTTTTTTAAAGATGTGCAAGTCAGGCATTTTGGAACTTGAACAGATTGAAGCAAACAGTTAATTCAACAAATCATGTAGCCCCTAAACTGGTGCACTTGATGTGTGTTTGTTGGGTGGTTCATTTTGGGTTTTTTCAGACTCAGCTTTCCTTGGCTTACTCAGTAAACAAAGCCAGACCAATAATATTGATAGTATTCAGTTCTTATGTTAGTATTTCCATTTAACATCTCCAAAGTTCTTGCTCTACTTTTTTGTAAAGATGTTGCAGTCTGGTGGTAATCACAGTGTAAGTAGTTAATTAGAAGGAAATGTCATTTAAGGTATTTAGTGAAAGGTCATTATTCATCAAGAAATGGGAAATTTAAATTAAAGCAGCTCTAACTCTAAAAGTGCTATGGACTCTTAACATTCAAAGCACTGTGGAATCTAACGCTCCTTTCAGAACTTGGATAGTACAAGAACTGAACTTGTAATCGTAAAAAGGAGTATTTTTCCAAAGTGAGTGTCTACAGAGCTCTGAAATGGTAACACAATATATTCTTAGTATTAAACACTGTAATCAGCTTAAAAAAGTAATTTTCGAGACGCTCCCCTCTTATAAAGCCCACTCGTGAAAAAGGAAGAGAAACAGTAGGCTCTAGCATTAGATGTTTAAGTGCTTTTCTCAGACTTTTTGTGGGGTTTTCCTCATTAATTATATTTCTGATATTTTTACTGGTCAGGGTGTTTGGATTTTTACGCCTTGTCATATGACTTTGTTGGTACCTTTAAAATCAGTCTGTTTAATCTAGGATTTTATCGTGAGCAACTGTGCTTCCTATCCAAAAAAGGATCACATTGATTTTGTCCAAGAGAAATGAATCAGACGACTGATATCAGTTGATAACCAGTAATAGGCAATTTTTTTTTTTACTTTATCATAGATTTTCTAGGTGCTGTGTAGAAAGCATTAATATAGGAGGAAAATCAACGCAGAAGAAATAGGTTCCATAATTGACATCCATTTTTAAAGCAGCTGTTGATTCTTTTTTATTAACCTGGGTAATATACACAGTAAAACCAAACATAAAAGGACCTTTTAATCAGGTTAAATTAAACAGGCCAAATTACATTCCTCTTTGGAACTATTTTTTATTTAGATTTTGTGCAGTTGATTGTTACTTTTGAAGAGCCAGCTTGCCTGTAACAAGTTGGTACGTACCCAGTGAAAGAAAGAGTTGGTTTTAGATTTCTGTTGCAAGCTTTGAAGTTACCAAGGGAGGAAGAAGTCTCAATTTCTGGAAGAATGCCACAGGGGTGTCCTAACATTTGCATGTACATTTGGTTTTTTTTTTCATCTGCGCAGGGTAGATAATAGATGAAAATTCACCAAAGTAGTATCAGATAATTATTTAATACTTAATGTTTATTAGTATTACAAACATTTTTAATTTAAAGAAATATTAGGAACTGGGTGACTCTCTAATTTAGACTAGTATTTTTTCTGTGTAGATGACTTTTTTTTTTTTTCCTTCACCAAAACCAAAGATGGGTGACATGCCTAAGCTAATACGTTGTGCTCCTTTGCCATTTCTTCCTTCTGTTATCAACTCAATTACTTAACTTCTCAGTTACTGACTTTTCACAAACCCCAATATTTTCTTTCACCTAGGGTGTGGAAAGCAGAAGAGACAGGCATGCACGCACTTGCTCGTTCATTGCTTGCTTCTGGCACCTGGCTGGCAATGTACCATAATCTCTCCTTAGTTTCTTCCTGGGTCTCATCTTTGCCAACAGAGATCTCTCCTGGCGTACAGAATTGTTTTGAAGGATGTTCTTTCACGATGTTTACAAAAATGGACTGTCAGTGTGTTGAATGGCTTTCTTTGCCTTTTCCAGGTGTTGATAGGGGAATATACAGGGCGTGAATACGTGGTTTGTTAACTGTTGACACCAATATTGTATATTAAATCAGTCGTACTTTCCCAATTTCTCAAAGATTGGGTGGATAACTTACTAAAAGCTTTGCCTGCATTTTGTAAATGGCAAGGGAATCTCATTAGAGTTTCCAGTTTTGCCCTGTGCAAGTCCTTGTGAGAGTAGTGTTTGTTTCGAGCAGGTGATGGGTATGTGTCTCCAATGAGATTACCAGACATTAGAGAATCAGACAGGACAGACTTTCAAACGTAATCTGTTTAACAGCTTATTCCACTTTTCCCCTTCATTTATTCCGTCTGGCTGTTTGCTGAGCAATGTAGATTCTTACACAGGTGGACTGTCAGAAATACTTTCCATTAGATGCGCCAGCATGTCGGCAGAGGTTATGTGGAGGTTCCTATGATGTATTCGTAACGATATTGGGTGCTTAATAACCATTAACTTTGCCTGGTAAAGAGCCATTTTTTATCATTAAAAAAATGAAATGAAATTTTAGAAATTAAATTATACCAGATATCCCTGGAGGTATTTCTCCATCCCTGGAGGTCATTAAAAGACAGGTAGATGTGGTGCTTAGGGACATGGTTTAGTGGTGGACTGGGCAGTGATAGGTTAACGGTTGGACTCGATGACCTTAAGGATCTTTTCCAACCTTAACGATTCTACGATTCTATGATTCAAATGCCAAAACACAATACTTACCTAGTTTAAACATCCCCAGACTTGGATATCTGGGGCTAAACTGGGTAGTGTAGCCTTATTTCTGCACCTGTTTCTTCTCACTGGTCATAAAGTGAAAAACTCCGTCCATGAGACAGCTGGTGTAATGTAGGTCAGCTGAGTCACCCTCCTCAGGTGCCTGTCTTCTCTGTAAAAGGATCCTATTATGGCTAGCTTAGACTTAAATATCTGACTTCTCAATGCCTAATTTTAAACGTTGTCCAGTTGTTACTATTTCAGGGTAGTTTTTAATGTTGTCTTCTCATACTGCTGTGAAGCTTTGTCCCTGATCATTGATAAAGGAAGCGGTGGGTGGTATGTTTAGAAAAAAAAAGGTCACAGCCCCTTTGTTAAGCACCTGTGATGAAAACCATTGCTGGCAGTTCCTCCTGTAAGAACATCTGGAAATGCAAGTTCATATTATGGGTAGCTTGGATTTGTCAAAGCTGCCTATGCAATTTAGTAACTTTTTTAAAATGAGCTGTTGTGGAATAACTTGAGGAGTGTTAACCTAAAGTATAGCAAAGCGTAAATAAGATGTCTTTTTTACTACATGGCAGTGACATGTGCTTGTGTAAATTCCTCTTTAAAAAGATGCATCGAAAATGTATTTAACTTTTCTTCTGTACGCACTTACAGAAATGTTGCAGTCTCTGGCACAGCGTCCAGCTCCAGCAAATACTAATCGTGAACGGCGGCCTCGTTACCAGCATCCAAAGGGAGCACCTAATGCAGATCTAATCTTTAAAACTGGTGGGAGGTAGGACAATCTTCCTTTAAATGTGGTATTTCTGGTTCTAGGCAAGTAATTACCTTCATAATTGAAACAGGTAATGATCTGTGTAGTGCAAGTGCATTTGTTAGTAGTTTCCATTCTAAAGCATTCTGTTAAAATACTGAGCAGTGTTTTGATACTGAGTAGTGTTTTGTGCGTCTAACACAGTGTCTGTAAATTCGTCCTTGACAGAGGTTTGGAAGCCAGAGGATTATTTTTTGGTTGTGAAATGGCTGGTAAACCTGAGCCTCTTTTTACAGGGGGAAAGATGCAAGTCTGCTTTCTCAGTGGGGGGAGGGGGTATTTTTGAGTATCTCGAAAAATTCTCATTGTGCTTTTTCAATTTGGTGGATTTGAGAGCTATATCTCTGTAGCTGAAGCCCTGAATGAAAGTAAATGTAGGAAAGGCGGGGAAGGGGGAGGAGAACGTTTGACTTATGGTGTGCAAGAGCATACCAAAACCAGAATTAACATTAAAAGAGTCATTCCAGATTGCCTAATAGTCATTCTACAGCTTTAATATATCTCAGTGTGTCTTTTCTCACTTGGAGTAAGCTTGCAAATAAACCATTAAATTAACCCTGCAGGACAAATTTGAATAGGCAGAGTTTCAGGTAAAACGCAGACTGCTTTCATGTTTCTCTTTTCTTTGCAAGTTAATTTTGGAGGCGTGTAGATAGGAGCAGCAACTGGGAAGGGAGAGTTTACCTACTAATGGGTCTGTCTTTGTAAACTACGAATAAGTTAATGTAATGTACTAATCCTATGCTACAGTAACATTGCCAACTTTCTGGTACATTTTTACACTAATTTTATAACTTCCTGATGATCACTCACTCCACTGAAACCCTGTACAGATACTGCTTGTACAAAAAACCCGCCTCTTTTTGAAAACAGACTGCAATTTAAAAATAAATATTTTTTTAAAACATTAACTAGATGTAACTCAATAAAATGAGGAGTGCTGTCCATTTAGCTTTTCCATATCGCTGTGGCCTAATCCTGTCATAGAAATACATACTGTTCAGTTACACTGAATTGCCATAATACTTGCAGGTGTTTCATAAATAACTATAAATAACTATTTAGGTCATCTTTCCCAAAAGCCTTGCAACCTGTACGAGGTGCACGCTGCCATTATTCTTTAAATACAGCAGCCAGGCCAGTAGATGTGATATTTGCAGATCTTTTTAAATGCTGTTCTTTTGAAAGCTTTTAATTTTCAAATGTTTTAGGGAAAATATAATGTAGGACTTCACTGTGAACTAGGTCAGACATTGTGCAGCGAACACTTCAAGTAGCGTTTGCTTGTTCAAATAGCTGTGCCATGTGCTTGCAATTCTGATGTTGTTTTGTGTTTTGTAATTTACTCTTTGTTCCTTTTAATCTGTAAGCTCCTTAGAGCAGGGACCAGGAAGTTTGTTTTAACAGGCATATTTTTATTGGTTATGTAGTGCAATGCTCAGGCTTGCAGTCATGCATCAGTTGAGCCATCTTTGCCTGTTGTAAGGGAATGTTACTTTTCTTAACCCCAGCTGAAAGAGATTTAAGCAGAGATTTATTTATTGGAGACTGTGGATCCAGTGGCACTGGTATAGATTGGCTGTCACCTGCATTTTTAGAGCTTCTGGTTTATAGCATACATTGAAGATTGTCTTCTGGCTTTGCAGGGTGAACTGCAGTCTTTGCCCAGACTACCCTCCTGTTTTAGTTACGAAGTTACCCCATGGACTCTGAGGACACTAGAGTATCTTCCTGAGAGCAAATAGGAACTGAGCTATTAATTGCAGGATCTGTTTGGAGAAGTTTTCACTTGCCTACATGATAGAACCAATTTGTATAATTACAGATGTTATCACTTACATGATGAGTGAGCTGTGTTGCATTGTTTCTTCTTCGTGTGTGAAGAAGACCAAGACGTTATTTTCTCTCAATAGTAACTCAAATTTATTGGAAATAATAATGGATGTTACTTTCTTTAAGGTATACAACTTTTTATTTTAAATTTCCTGAGGGTAGGGATAATCTGAGCAAGTAAATCTCCTGGTTGATTCCACTATAGCGTACAGTCTGACAGGTTCTGATAGCTAAGGTCGGGACAAGGACTTGCTCGCATTTCAGGTAGTGTTAAGAGTAGAGAAATGGATTTGGTGTTTTTACCTTTATTTCTGTGTTGCTAAACATGTCCTAAGCACCTGTTTCAAACATGTTTTAGAAAGTTAAATCCAAATCTACCTATCATAATGGATGATTGAAAGATTAATGAAGACAGCACTGGCTTCTCTCTTATGTTTTTGGCCTTGAACAACTGGATCTAGCTCCGCAATTATCCCTGCTGTCACAGCAGGATCTGGACTAGATGATCTCCAGAAGGCCCTTGGAACCTGAATTTTTCTGTGATTCTGTTTTGGTCTAGCAGGGTGCTAAACCAAAGCAAAACAAAAAAAACCCCAAAACATCCATCAATGTGTCGCCTCCTTTCCCTGTGATAAACCCACAGTAAATGGAAGAGAGGATGAGTGGCTGTGGCTGTACAGCATGCATTTTGTTAAAAAAGGAGAGAAGTCTTTTTTGCAGTGTTTACTGTATTTGTTATCTACTAATGTCCTTTTTCAGATTTCTTCTTGTGTGCAAAATGCTGGATCAAAAAATTGGAGTTTATTCCTGTTTATTTGTAATTGCCTGCTTGTATAGCCTCAGGTTTTAAGACCTGCTGCTAATCCTGCACGGAGGAGGTTCTTTTTGGGACTTGAACATTTAAGGCTGACTTGCCTTAAAGGTGACTTACTGTGACTCCATTAAAAGTAGGGTTCCTTAATTTGCTTCCACAGAACTGGGAAAGGAACACTGGGAAGGCAACAATTTTCACACTTTCCTCCAGTTCTGTAGCATTTGTATATTAAAAGAGGACTTTGGCGATCAAGCTGTTGAATGATACCGTCAGGAAACACAAAATTTACAAAAGTAATGTTTTTTCGGTGATGGGATTATCATGAAAATACTCTTTTACAGTTCTGGAGAACAGCCTCTCACTTTAAACAACGGGGAAACACATTTTTGAAGAGGATTGAGTTCCATTAAATGGCTTGCTTATAAAGTGAAATGTGAATAACCACATTTTATGAAATCTGTTTCAAAACATTGATTACCAAGAAAGAAAGAAGAGTTGCAGTAAGAAATTTGACTGTAGAGAAGTGAGCCTTACCAAGGAGGTTTTTTAACTCGTTAAACCTCTACTTACTAAAATCTGTAACCTCAAAACTCGCTGCTGTTTTGGAAGTATAGTAAAGAAAGAGGACCCGTCTGTGGCAAAAGGCCCATTGGGATGCAGACGTAAGCCGACAACCGAAATCATATTCAAGTTAGTTGGTCATTTCAGGTCTCCTGTTTGCATCTGACTCTTATTTCACTCTAACCCATTTAAAAAAGAAAAATGAAGCATAAAGGTAATAACAGGATGCTAGCACTTTATTAGATAAATAGTCTCATAATAAAGAGTATTTCATTAATGCTGAAAAATCAGAGTATAGATAATAAGGAAAAATGTGAATTCAACATGATTTACTGTTTCAGCTACTGGACAAACACACTTCATACCTCACCCGTGATGTAGTTGATGTGTTGACCAATATTATATTTTGAAGCTTTGAATTCACTTCTTACTGCCATATACCAGAAGTCTTGGGCAGCCTAAATCCAGTTTCTCTGTTAGGCTCAGTCTAGCTGATCGCCATAGACTGTCATTGTCTCAAACTAGAGAATCTCTTGGGTGTTGGTGTGGCACTGTCTGGAACTGAATCTACCCCTCGGTACATCACGCTGCTTTTGAAATCTCCAGTTGTCTTTTTCAATGATCTCTTGTATTCTTTTTTTTAAAACAAAAAAAAGTCATCACTTCAGCAGTAATGTTTTGCTCTTGCTTCAGAGATTTTTATGATGAAATGGCTCCCATCTTCACATTCTAGATATCATAAATACTAAAAAATTCAGTGCTCTATTTAATTGCGTGCTAGCTCGGTTCACCTTATTCTTTGCCACCTTTTTCACCAGTATTTCAATCGTGACCTTTTCTCAGTTCCTGTACTTGATCCTGTACGACATCCTTTTCCCTAACGCATACACGTGCTAGTGTAGCTTTCCATGAAAGCCGTTCAGACTCCGCACAGAAATTCCAGCCTCCCTTTTCATCTCTCTTATGGGAGGAAAGCCCAGGGTAGGAAACTGAAGGAGGGGTTTGCAAATCCTGCAGCTTTTTTTGGTGGACTGCATTGGAGTTGAACAGAAAAGAAGCAGCAAAGCGAGGTCCTGAGGTTTTTGTCTTGGCAACACGGTGCTTGTTGGGCTCTACAAATGTAGGTGTGAGTCTAATCCGTATCTAAAGGTGAAGAGAGACCCAATCACAATTATAGTTTAGAGGGAAAGGAAGGTACGATTTTATTTATTAGCATGCTCATTTATAAAGACTCTTTGTTTTAAAAAGTTGTTTCAATACAAATAAATAATAATAATAAACCAAACAAAAACCCCTGCAGCTTTGTGGGCCTCTGGAAGCTACTTACCAATCCTCAAAACACCTTCCTGATAATAGCCCACTTTGCGTACTGTGACTTTGATTTGATTTTGTCAGAGTATTTTATTTTTCTTCAACAATGAGAATATAAAATAACCCGCACAACTTCAGATTCTCTTACTTAGGCGAGTCTAGTTTTTGTGGTGAATCTGTGGTGTTTACAGTGTAAAAGTTGGTAATTCAGATTTGTTAGGAAACAACCAGGGCACCTTAGTATTTTATTAGTCCAGAAACACACGCTCTGAAGTGTGATTGTTCCAGAGAATACGTTCTTGCACAGCTAAAATGATAACAGCTGTTTAAAATCCAGTGCTACATTTTTTTCAATACAGAATGGCTAGGTTAATGTTCTACAGAATGTGATTTCCAGTTCTGCTGCTGAGAATTTCGTCACGTTAAGGTACAGTGTGTCTGTCATC